TGTCCCTGGTCTGCTGGAGACGGTCCCCAGCAGACCAGGGGCACCGGGAGCAGCTTTTCTCACCCCGGAGGTCGAGGTGGCGGACCGCTGCCTGAGAGCTCCGGGGCGAGAAAGCCCCATTCGTAAGTGCGGATCCGACATAAGTCGGATCCGCGTAAGTCGGGGCCTGCCTGTACTACATTATTAAACCTAAAATACAAATATAAATTCCTCTCCTACAACTGCAGCTGGCCCCATCAGAAAAATCCCCTTAACAGAGCAAGTGATGGTAGATCACGGGACTCAAATTAGACAGAGAAACTGAGGCACTGTGGAGTATAGGATATAAAGCAAGTCAGTGCCTAAGCTGGGTATAAAGGCCAAATCTTCTGACTCACAGTCCTTGACCTATCTGCTGTATCACATTCCCTGAAACAAGTCTGAGGGATATGGAAGCTTTGAACATACCTGACAAAATGTGACACAGGAAGAAATAGAAAATAGGAAGAGAACAGGGAAAGAAGAGAATAGAGGCAGCAAATGCTCTAAAGTTAATAGTTTTCACTGCACCACATTTTTAAACAATACTTTAATGGCAGTTCAGCCTGGAAGAGAATGTTAGCTAACTTTAGCTAATTAACTAGTTTTTCATAGCTTTAGCAAGACCTCATGCTTGTTTGGTTCCTAGGTATGAAAAAAACAGCTACATTTGGTGGGGATCACAGTTGAGCTTCATTGTTAATTTTCCCCTTGGACTCTCTCTTACACCTGCTGGTATCATTTTAACGTTAAATTCTTTGGCAAAAATATTTTTACTTTTTAGCAACTTCCATGATAAAAATCGATTTCTTTTTCTGATTCATTTGCAGGGAAGCTTCTTTCGTCTGTATTATCCTTCCCAAAATGGCACGACTAGTGAAGACACCAAGTGGATCCCCAGGAAGGAATATTATCGCGGAATCTGCGACTTCCTAAACATGTACCGGTTGTTAGGAGAGAAATTTTTGCAGTACTACGTTGGTAGGATGGGTTTATTTCTTATTGCCTTACTGCTGAGACATTGTGCGCTTTGGTCAGTTTAGTTATGGTACCTATATGTGAGGAACGTGTTAATACAGCAGGAGCTCAAGGGAATGTCATTTGGAGAATTATGTTACTTTTCCGTTAAAAGCATGTGCGGAAAATCATGCCAGTCTAGACGAAGCCTATGGGTAAAATTCCTTCTTGTGCAAAAGTCTATCACTTAAGGCCCCTAGGGAAGCTTTCTGAAGGCACAAGCGCAGGGAAGGAAGGGGTGCTAAGTGTCTAAGATTGAAAGTCAGTAAGAGCTGGACGCTTGTCTTATGCCCCTGAAAATCTTTCTCTGCAGAACATAGGCCTGATGCGGGCTCTCTGTATGGGGGAATTTCACCCTTTGCCTGTGTTTGTAGGATCAGGCTTTTAGTGTAGAATACAAAATAAGGCCTTTCCTCTTAGTCTTCTTGTGTATCTCACTTAAATAACCTATTGAAATCAGTGGGGCAACCTGAGGAAAAAAGCACCTACCCAAGATAAGGGAGGGTATCAGAAAGTGTTTCAAAGAAGTAGTTACATGAAAAACTACACTAACTGCAGATACCTTGTTTTATCCAGGCTCAGTGACATGTCCTGCAAAATGGAATGCTGCTTTCAAGTCTGGAGAGAAATACCCCCTCATTATTTTTTCCCATGGACTTGGCGCGTTCAGGTAATGCTGCCATTTGTGGCTTTAGACCACACGGGGACAAGCAAATCTCCAATGTAACTCCATTGAGATCAGCAGAGTTATGCCTGGGAGGAATTTAAGCCCAGAAAATTGACAGTTCTTGAGAATGATCTCAAACACGATTTCAGTAAAGTTGTGTTGGATCCATCACAGTATTAGCTAAAACTGATTTTAAAAACAATGGGCCAGATCTTCAGGTGTAAATTAGTATATTGAAATCAATGCCAGTTATATAATAACTGGGGGCATGCTCCAATTTACCTATATGTTTTCTTATTTGAAAATGCCTGCTTCTCCGCAGTGTTGTGAGAATCAATTAGTTAACATTTTTAAAGCACTTTGAAGATGTAAAGTATTATGCAGAAATTATTATTACATATAGTCATTAGTTCTCTTCCTCAAAAAATCCTCTACAAAGTGTGTGTTGATATAAAAAGGTAGAGAGGCTGTGCGGCTTAGTGGATGGATCCCAGTCTGGTGCTCTCAGAGGCCTTGGGTGGATTCCTAGCTGCACCACTGACTAGCTTGGTTATCTTAAGCAAGTCACTTCCCTGCTAGGTGCCTCAATTTCTCCAGCTACAACTTAGAATAATGATAGTGGCATCCTCTCTCAAATTCTTTGAGTTCTATGAATAAAAGCACCATATGATCTAGGTATTATTTGTAATTATTTATTATTAATTATTATTATTAATGTGGGACTTTGAACATGCTTACAGACTTCAACATAAAAATCAGTCCAATAGTAACTTGAGAAAGAAAGGAAGGATTAATATACAATGCACAAAATTAAATTAGATGCAGTACAAATATTGCCTATAGGTTATTTCAGGAGCAAAACATTGAAACCATGTGTATTTAACCAGTGTATGCTTTTGATTTCAGGACTATATATTCTGCTATCTGCATTGAGATGGCATCTCAGGGTTTTATTGTTGTTGCTGTAGAGCACAGGTATGTGCAGTATATCTAGTTTTTGACTTTGTAAAATAACTGTTCGCCTCTTCTAAGTCCTATGCTTATGATTTGATCTTGCAAGGTGCTGTGTGCAAAACCTAAGACCTTCTTACATTTGAAAAGCACTTATTTGACTAAGAGATTATTTTTCTCAGTAACATTTTAAGTCTAAAAGACTCACACAGAATGTAGTGTGTATTGTACAGACTAACAGAGTTATTTAAAAAGATTAAACTATTAATTTTCTTCAAAAGTTTTTCTCAAAGCTCAACTCTTAAGCTAAACAAAGAGCAAATTATTTGAATTCTTTGACTAGGGTAGCTGTCAGTTTTCTATGTATTTTTTTAAAATGCACTATTTAATATTTGACTCTGATGAAACAAGATCAGCTCAGTTTTCTTTTAATTTATGCATTCAGTTATAATGCTGCTCTGGTTATTTTCTTGGTGCTAGTTCTTTTTGATAGACGGTGAAATCCTGGCCCCATTAAATTCAATGGAGCCACAATTTCACCGCTGAAGTTCATGCAAGTTGAATGCAGTTTGCATCAGTGTGAACTAGCCTTCAGAAATAACTTCTTTTCTATATTATAGAGACAAATCTTCTTCTGCTACTTATTATTATAAAGAGAGTCCTGTTTCTGAAGCACGAGAGGAGGCTGCAGCAGGTTTGGAAGAGGAATGGATCTACTACAGAAGACTAAAACAAGGTGAACAGGAATTTCCTCTACGCCACCAACAGGTATTTGTTGTGGAATGCTGATCTAACAAATAAAGAAGCAGCAATCTAGCACCCAGTAGGTGCTAAGGGATTGATTATGGCTGGCATATTTGCAAAGACACTAAACCATCAGGCTTCCTGCCTCAGCCCAGGGCTGTACTACAGACTTTTCTATGGTGTTCAGGAGTGTGATGAGTTACGATTTGTGACCATCATAGCGTTGCCTGCAAAAGCCTCTAACGTAGATGTAGCTATACCACCAAAACTGTGCTTTTGGCAGTACAGCTTATTTTGCTCATAGGTGAGAGAAAGAGTATGGCCTGGAATAAGTTATACCAACACAAAAGCGAGCTTTGCTGGTATAAGTTGTGTCCACAATAAGGCTACGTGTACACTAGGCTACGTGTACACTGCCCGAGAATTTTTGCGCAAGAGGTTTTTGCCCAAAAACAGTGTAGACAGACCCGTTTTGTGCAAAAACTCCCTTTTGCACAAGATCTGGATATCTCCTTTTTTAAGGCATAAGAATCTTGTGCAAAAGAGATTTTTTGCGCAAAACGGATCTGCCTACACTGTGTCTAGACTGGCCAATTTTTCCGGAAAATCAGCCACTTTTCCGGAAAAACTTGCCAGCTGTCTACACTGGCTGCTTGAATTTCCGCAAAAGCACTGACGATCTCATGTAAGATTGTCAGTGTTCTTGCGGAAATACTATGCTGCTCCCATTCGGGCAAAAGTCCTTTTGCGCAAAACTTTTGCATAAAAAGGCCAGTGTAGACAGCTCAGATTTGTTTTCTGCAAAAAAGCCCCGATCGCGAAAATGGCGATTGGGGCTTGTTTGCGGAAAAGCGCGTCTAGATTGGCACGGACGCTTTTCCGCCAAAAGTGCTTTGGCGGAAAAGCGTCCATGCCAATCTAGACTCGCTTTTCCGAAAATGCTTTTAACGGAAAACTTTTCTGTTAAAAGCATTTCCGGAAAATCATGCCAGTTTAGACGTAGCCAGAGTGTTATATGAATGTTGCAAGGCTGAATACATCAGAAAACTTCCGTTAAAAGCATTTCCGGAAAATCATGCCAGTCTAGACGTAGCCTGCTTGTTTTTGCGTAAAAACCTCTTGTGCAAAAAGTCTCTGGCAGAGAATATGCTAATGACAGCACAACAAATGCTAATGAGCACTTTATTAGCATACTCTCTGCTGGCAAAACCCTCTAGTGTAGCCTAAGACTGCTTAATTGGTACAGTACACCCACATAGCTATACAGGCAGTCCCCGGGTTACATGGATCCGACTTACATCGGATCCCTACTTACAAACGGGGTGAGGCAACCCTGCACTAGCTGCTTTCCCCCAGCAGACCAGGGAGACGCGAAGCTAGCGCCCCCCCAGCAGACCAGGGAGACGCGGAGCGGCTTTTCTCAGCAGACACCTCAGCTTGAGAATAAAGGACTGAGGGAAGTAAGGTGTGGGAGAATAAAACTGAGCTCTGGAGAAATGTTTGGCTAGAGTTTCCCCTACAATATGTACCAGTTCCGACTTACATACAAATTCAACTTAAGAACAAACCTACAGTCCCTATCTTGTACATAACCCGGGGACTGCCTGTACTCGTAAAACATTCCAAGTGCAGACATGGCTTCAGAAACCTGCCGGCATCTTTTCTCTTTTGATCCAATTCCCACTTAAGTCAGTAGAAGTCTTTCCATAGACTTCAACATGCTTTGGATGACGTCCTTAGTGAGTTTCTGGTGTTAGTGCGTGCACAAATAAGGCAATTGACATCTCATATATACACCCAACATCCTATTTATGATCCTAAATTCATGCCAATTAGAGAAAGATTGGGAGAAACCTGCAGAATTATAGCCCATTGGAATGATCTTTCTGGCAGAGAGATTTCAGTGGCTCATGGCCTTGTGCTGGCCATCCGGACTGGGGTGAGTGTCAGCCTCACATAGAACTCTAGTTCCAAAGAAAGAGAGAAATGTTATTTTTACTGTGTGATAAAATATAAATATTAAAAGGGATAAAACCACTTCAGAGTTGTCATTTGGTAATATGGGTATAACACAAGATGGGCTTTGACTAGTTCCCATTGAGGGCTTGTCTAAATGAAGACAAACAGCACATTAACACACTTTAGAGCTCCAGCATAGAAAGGGCAAGATGTACTGTAACATGGTAGCTCATTCAAGCAAACCCCACAGAGAGACAAAGGGACATCAGGACCAGCCAAGTTTTACATACATCTTTTATTCAACTCCTGACAAGCCTGCTCCTGAAAAGTCTTGTGCAGTCACAAGACTTCCATTGCATCGTTCCAGTCCTAAGGGCCAAACTCTTTAGTGGTTTAAACTGGTCCGGCACCGTTTTTTTTTTTCTGTTTTATGGATCCACGCTCCAATTCTGCACAATGCTTATCTTTGACCATAAGAGAAATCCCATGGACCTGAAGCCCTGGATGTTGTTAATATTTGTTCCTAAGTATTTTAAAAGAATGCCTAGTACTTTGTTCTTTCTGTCCAGAAGGGTAACTACTGTTGTCTGTTATCTGTGTCTAGGTGCAACAGAGAAGAGAGGAGTGTATCAAAGCTCTTGACCTCATTCTTGATATTAATTCTGGAAAACATGTAGAGAATGTCCTGCCTTCAAACTTTGATTGGACTCTTCTAAAGGTGACTGAAGAGATCTTGACTCCTTTTAATAAAAGTCTAATCACATCAGCTAAAAACAAGTTGAATGTCAATCTCATGCAATCCTGAACTTGTGTTTTTATATCTGCTGTCATTTGATTTCCATCCCAGTAATCTCTAGCTTTTAAAGCAGATATGAAGTCATGACTAAAAGTTAGGAATGTTCCTGACAGCACCTTGATTTTTTTTTACAGGGTTCTATTGATAATAACAAAATAGCAATGATGGGACACTCTTTTGGTGCTGCCACAGCCATTGAGACTCTTAGCAAAGAAACTAGATTCAAGTAAGTATCATAAAGCAAAGGCAAGCCCCTGGGCTCTTAGATGGTATTCTGCATGTCAGCTTTTTGCTCTTCTTGATTGTGCTGAAATCTCATTTTACTAGTAACAACTGTAATTATTACAGCAACTATAAAAACATGGCTTTGCTTCCTATGGACAATTTTTCCCTTATTCCTGCTTCTGTGAGCTCTCGGGAGCCAGAACATCTAGGCTACGTCTAGACTGGCATGCCAATCTAGACGCGCTTTTCCGAAAAAAAGCCCCGATCGCCATTTTCACAATCGGGGCTTTCTGAGGAAAACAAATCTCAGCTGTCTACATTGGCCCTTTTGCGGAAAACAAATCTGAGCTGTCTACACTGGCCCTTTTGCGCAAAAGTTTTGTGCAAAAGGGACTTTTGCCCAAACGGGAGCAGCATAGTATTTCCGCAAAAAGCACTGATTTCTTACAGTAGGAAGTCAGTGCTTTTGCGGAAATTCAAGCGGCCAGTGTAGACAGCTGGCAAGTTTTTCCGGAAAAGCGGCTGATTTTCCGGAAAAACTGGCCAGTCTAGACACAGCCCTGGAATACAGTCATGTGCTTCCTCATTCCTTGGTACCTAGAAGAAGTGTCTCTGCTGGAGCTTAACAGGGACAGGACTGAGGGAACAGGGCCTGCTCTCTGCAATACCAACTGGTGTTCCAGTATGAAATGAAAGCATGATATCCCTCCAGGAATTCTCTCATATAGCCCACTTATCTATGTACATAGCAACTCAAAGCATATGGAGACTACCCTATGCACCATTCTATGACAGTGATATAACCACATAGTCCTTTTCTGCAGGTGTGGCATTGCCTTAGATGCATGGATGCTTCCTCTCGATGATGAAGTTTATCCCAGGGTGCATCAGCCATTGCTGTTTATCAACTCAGAAAAATTCCAGTGGGCTACAAATGTTCTAAAAATGAAGAAATTGGACTCCTCTGATACAGAAAGGAAAATGATCACTATCAAGTAAGTATTACAGCACTATAGTCTTGTTTTCTTTTCTAGAGACTAGAGGAAAATTACAGGATTCTAACCAGAATTGATGGCTTACCGATAGGAATCTAGTAGTGCTTCACTAGTTATTAAAACCTCCCCAGAGAAGTATTTACTATTCAGTGCATTTTCATCGTCAGATCTCTTCATATAAAACTCAGATGGCATAATAAAGAGCTTTATGTACAAACTAATACAGACTTCCTGTGTCATCCAACCAAAGATGCAAGAGATCTATTCTAAGATATTCAGGTTCTTATGCTGTGCCCATTACCATAGTATCTCTAATCTGGCTGTGAGACTGGGGGCTAGAGCAGCAAGTCCAACCAATTATGTAACACCCAGGTGGAATTTGTGACTAGTGAATCTGCATACCCTAGCCACTTCCGGTGTTCCCTCTAATTTTTTCCATCCACGTACGTAATTAATTTTGTTACATGCACCATATGAAGGTAATGTGCAGATGTGCACCACAGTAGAAACAAAAACCTAAATATATATTTTTAAAAAGTTATCATGTAGATAATTACTCCAGCCAGAACAGCTAAGAGAACTCACTACTCAAAGAATTAAATTTAAGCATAAGAAAGAAACAAAAATTATGAAATGCAAATGCCAGTCAAAATCTAAAATAACACATTTTAAAAAGTATCAATAAGTTACTACAACAGTACAAGTATGTGGTGGAAGGTGAGTGAGAGAGTGTGTGTGTGTGTACACGTGTGCAAGAGATACATATGTGCATTGCCCCTTTAAGTACTCTGCCCCCCATTTATGTACATTGCCCTTCTAAGTATATTGACACTCAGCAGTCCGAAGTCTGCTTGTTTAGACACAGCAGCAGCTGCCAGCAAGCTTCCTTGGTCCCACTCCTGAACCCTGCCCTGTTCCCCTGCTCCCACTCAGTGGAGATGAGGTTCAGAGGGGGTGGGGGAACCCCTGACATCAGCACTCCCTCTCTTTCCCACTATTCACAGCAAGCAGGAGTTTCCCAGAAGCAGCTGGCCATGGGCTCTAAAGCAGAGGGCAGGAGCAACATGGCAGTGAGGTAGAAGGGACACCTGAAATACACAGTCCTTGATAGACTTCTGGAAGGCCACCCAGCTGCACAACTTAATGGGAACATAGGCCACTTTTTTGGCCTACTCCCATGTCCTTTCAGTTGAAGGTATGTGCTTAAATACTTGTCAAGCTGAGCCACATGACTTGACCAAGGCCATAAAATGGAGCCTCCTCTAAGGCTTTCACCTCTTCTAAGCAGAGAGCACCTCTGTATATTTAGGAGAAATCCATGACCTAATCCCCTGGTATAGAAGGCTCTGAAGACAATGGGGATGAGAACAGGAGAAGCCCACTCAAGGGGTCTGTATTCCTTGAGTGACACAGAGAACAAGACTGTCAAACTGAAGAGGATTCAAAGGAATGAACTGATCCGATTAGAAAGCATGCCTTATACAAGACTCAAGGAGCTCAATCTATTTAGTTTAACAAAAGTTAAGAAGCAACTTGATCCCAGTCTATAAGTATCTACACATGGAACAAAAGTGATAAAATGGATCATCAATCCAGCAGAGAAAGGTACAGTATGATTCAGTGCCTTGAAGTTGAACCTAGACAAATTTGGACTGGGAATAGAGCACAAATTTTTAACAGAGGTAATTAACTATTGTAATAATTTACTAAGGGTCATGGATGCTCCATCACTAGCATTTAAAATCAAGATTGGATTTTTTTCTACAAGATATGCTCTGGGAATTGCTGGGGGAAAGTTCTAAGGGCTGTGTAATACAGGAGGACAGATTGGATGATCACATGATCCCTTCTGACCTAGGAATCTTATCTATGACTATGAACAGTTTAAAGGATCCTTCAAGGGCATTTGGAGCATGTGGGTAGTAGATCCAATGAATACACCCCAACCAACTGGGCAAGAACTTTTAGGGGCAAAGCACTACTGCAACTCTAAGGATCTCAGATTTGTACACACGTGCTGTCCTTGATTTCAAGGCTGGTCATGTAGACATTCCTCAAGGCAGAACTGATCCTTAGGATTCTTCTTAACTTTAAAGTTATTCAGATTAAGGAAAGATTTAAATTTAATCACACAATAGCTATTCCTAATAACAGAATATAGACAAGCCCTGAGGTAGCAATAACAATAGGGGAATGCAAGTCTCCTAACACAATTAAGTATATAATCTATTATTACCTTTGCAAAAGACTTGATTTACATGCATTACCTTCATTTCAAAACTGCCTTCCTATTAATTTATTTAAAACTCTCTTTTCTATTTACAGGGGATCAGTACATCAGAGTTTTCCAGATTTTACTTTCCTGGCTGGTACCTTTGTTGGAAAGATTTTCAAATTACAGGGAGATATAGACCCAAACATAGCTATAGATATTAGCAACAAAGCTTCTTTAGCCTTCTTGCAGAAACATTTAGGTAAGTAGCAACATTTAAAAAGTAGTTTTGTTTAAAAGACTCAAGTCCCATATGAGTAAGTGTTAATCAATTCTTTATTTTTATGCAGCCCCTCGTACTAAATCACTGTTTTCTTGAGGATAAAAATTAAAATGAGAATCTGACCTGCTTCTTGATGACAATGTGTTAATTCTTTAATAATTGAATTTTTATAGTCTGGTTATAAGCCTTGAGGGAAAAAGTTTCTCCCAACTTCAAGATCAGATTCAAGTGCCTCAAGCTAGGAACATTTAATATTTTTCCATTTTGTTCATTCTTAATTCAAGAGAAGTGTAAATAGTTAAACATCTCCACACTTCAGACTTTATTTTGTTCTTACTTCTTCCAAACCAACCAGTTCAATTTAAGAGATGAAACTGGGAAGTAACTAGCTTGTGCATTTGACTCCTTTAGACAGTAGTTACTTTAATCACGTTTGTTTTGCTCCTGCATTTCACAGGTCTGGAGAAAGACTTTAATCAGTGGGACACTCTTGTAGATGGCGAAGGAAATAATGTCATTCGTGGCACCAACATTAATCTACCCTCAACTCAGCCTGAATCACTAGAATGAAGAAACTGATAATACGATGTATACTAAAACATTCCTGAAGTTTTCAACAAGCTGTTACTTAGAAGACAGTAACTGCTGGCCAGTACTTCCCACAACTACATTGTTTTGGGTTTTTTCCCCCCTTATGAAGACAGGTGACTATTAGGCGTTCTCAATGCACAACTGATAAAAGCTTAGAGTTTAAATTCATACCAGCCTATAAACTTACTCTTTAAAATACTGCAATAACTTTTTCTAACAATTAAACATTAAAACAGCTATAATATGGATATCTAGCTCTAAGTTAGGAAAGAAGCAATGTTGATCAGCATTTACAGCAAGAGACTTTCGTTCTGGCAAGAGCTTGCACAAAATGGTTAACCTCTCTGCTCTTCAGCATCTCCATCTTTAACATGAAGATACCCAACAAGCATTATTGGGTGCTCTGAGCTCTCCAGCTTTAGAGTGCTACATAAATACTCATTTGTTTTTAATTACTAGGCCTATGCTAGCTGGACTTCAAGAACATCAAATAGGAAGCCCCAATTCAGTTTAAGATTTTGATCTCAAAAGGAGATATTTTGTAAAATCCACTTCCATTAGCTGCCAGCAACACTGGAAGCCTCTTCAGAGCAGTTCGTTCTTGAGAGAATTCTTTCAAGATTTCTATAAGTTGTCACTTCTTGTGAAGGTTCAGTTCCATCTGAGCTGCAGACTGAAAGAAGGCTCACTGTAGTTTTGGATTTGACCCAGAACCAAAAGTACAAGGACAGATTAGTATCTAGGGACTTGAATCACACTCCTGCCTCCTAACATTCAATCCAAATAGTCTTGTAGGTGCTATATATCGTATTTTTAGTCGTTACATACTTTAATAACTGATTGTGTTTTAGAAACCACATTGCACATGCTTAAGTATTCCTACCATGCTTTAGCGAACTAAAACTACACAAATTAACTGAAATGTTTTCCCTCTGACAGACAATGAAAGCACAGAGCACTTGGGTAGGATTCTCCAAAGCACACAAGACATCGAAGCACAAGTCCCTTAAAAATCAATGGGACTTGTGCACCTTTGCCATACAGCTTTTGCCTGCTTTATAATCATCAGTTAGGAATGAGATTGATACTGGAGAGAAAACTGAACTCTTCAGGCAGCATAGCCTTCATCCGTAAGAGTAACTGTTTTGTCTTTATCTTCAACAGCCATCTCAATATGTGACATGCAAAATTATTAAGGATGCTTTTTAACATATTATAAGAAAACTGTAGCCTAGTTTCTGGGCAAGTTGCAGATTTCTAACATGGTGTATGCCATTCCAATACAAATCTATGTTTTTAACCATTAACAGGCTCTTGAACTGGAATTTGCTGCACAAAGGTAACTAGAAAAATTAATTGTTAAGCGACATTATCTCCAACTTAAAATTGTGCTGCCTTTCCCACACACGGTCATTTTGAGCCTGTTAGAATGCAGGAGCTCTCCTTTTTAACTCTTCCAAAATAAACACCTCCCCCTCATGGGATCATAATGTGGTCACTATTCTGGCAAAAGTCAACTGAACTTTCACAGATTCATTAGCAGTTAAGAGGAAGAGAACTTTAAGACCAGTCTCTAGGGTTACCAAGTAAACCCCTCAAAATACCGGACACACTTGATCGTGGGCAGGGGGGAGGGACCGGCTCATCCCCACCTATACTTGGCCAGATTTCACCCAACTCTGACACTGCAGAGGCCAATTCTGCCCTACAAAGATTCTAGGTGCACCAAGATAATAAGCAAGAAGGACAGTTTTCTACCATGCCCACCCCTGGCCCAGATGTGGAACAAGAAGTCTCAGCCTAGCAGCAGCCAACTGTGGAGGGACTTAATGTGAGGAGATCCAGGTGTAGCGTGAGAGGGTTCTCTGAGAGGTAATCTAGGTGTGGGTGACTTGATGGGGGATCTGTATACACAGAGGTTTGCTGAAGGTACCAGGTGAGAGGGGAAATTGGACTCTACCAGGGGTTCAGGTAATGGGGGAGACAATACAGTGGAGGTCCACATGCAGCTGGTTGAGCTCAGTGGGGCAGGAATCTGGGTTCAAGGGGTTCAGGTCTAACTGCAAAGAGTGGGGATCTGGATACCCAGGGGAGGAGCTTGATAGCAGGATCTAGGTGTTGGGTTCAGTAGGGGGAGAAGAAGAGGGGTTCAGGTGTAGGAGAGCTCTGGATGCAGGAGCCAAGGCTCAGTGAGGTAGAGATTTGGGTGCAGGAGAATCTGCAGGGAAATTCTAGGTATGGGGTAGTCTGGATGCATGAGGGATCAGTGAGTGGGCAAGAAGCCACAGGTATGTGTTGAGCTTTCTACAGCCAGGGGAGGCTGCTGGGGATAGGTCTCACAAAGCATGGCCAGGGCAAGGTAAGGGAGGAGAATGTTCATCCTTCCTCAACCCAGCCAGCACAAGCAACTAAGCCACTGGCTAGAGTGCACCCAGGCCCTCCTTCACATTGATTTACCTGTCTGCCAACTGCTTCAGGTTCCTGAATCATACCAGCACTGTTGAGGAGGATCACACGACCACTCTAGAAGCTTTCCTTTGCTTTCCCACCAATTTCTATGGGGAAGCAAAGAAATCTGTAGGAGACTTGAATGCTGGGAGCATGCAGTGGCACAGCATTGTCCCAGGAGTATAGCTGGACCCATTGATCTGACCCAGTATGGTTATCCTTATGCCTTTATCTTTAATATTCCTGGAATGCTCTGTATTGATTGGTCCTATTTTTAACAAGCCCTTTCAGCCAACAGATTGTAGTCAATTATAAAGGCAGTATCCCTTTATACACTAAAAAAAATTAATGGAGAAGTCGGAAAGATCAAGACCAGATAACAATGCACCAGCTTTATTCCAGCTTGTTTCACTGTTTGTATAGTAATATAAGTGCAAACTGAAGTAAATATTGTTTTCCTCTTATGGTAAACATTCACAGTAACTGGCGCAAAATATCCTCATTCTTTTAGGAAATCTATTCTAACAGAGAAATATTTTCAGTGCTTACCAGAAAGAAGTATTGCATAATGTACAGTAGCTGGCATACATCCAAGTAACCTTCATTTAAGCAAATCCAAAAAACTTAAATCAAGTATAGTTCCAATAGAACTATAGAGCTTCAGCAATCTACATATGCAAAACAAGTTTAACAATCTAGTTATTACAACTATTTGTACAACAGTCTAAAATATTTCAATAGCTGAAACTCCACCAGTCAAGGGCGGCTCAAATTCTCACTCAAATGAAGGCAGTGCAAGCTTAAGAAGTTAGATGCCAGCACTATCAAAACATTTTCCTATATATTCCATATAGGCATTTTGTAGTCTTACAAGTGTGAAGAGCTATTACAGAAATACAGCATATAAGTTAGACATTACTTGCTCAGCTGCTTGAAAACCATGCTCGAAGTACTTCTACAAATGTATAATTCAGTAATACCAGAGTCTTGAGAAAGTACATGTTCATAAGACTTTGCTTCTCCAGCATGGCTCTAGTTAACTAGAAGCCTTACTCGGTGGCATTTTCAGGATTGCAGGACAACATATACGGATCATCCATTACATCTGAGCCACAATTAGCCCTTTTTTCTAGAAAAAGAGGAGAGAAAGACAGACATAAAAAATAGGACCATGAAGATCCAAACACACTTACACAATAATAGTCACTAAAAAGAGTGTGATCTGTATTTTTTTTAGAAACTGAAAAACTGTAGTACAATTTCAGGCCAACACTATCTACTTTATAGTCTTGTATAAGTTTAGCCCAAATAGTACTCATTTGAAAGATCATTGTGTACAATGAATAACTATCAATTATGACAAATGAAACTTTACTCAAAAGTGAAATGATTTACATGGACACACGTATGCAATGTTTACAAGACAAATCGCCAGTTTTGGGTTGTATCTTCAGTTTAAGAGATAACCCATCCACCTGCAGGTGAAACATGACAGTCACAGTAGGTACTTTAAAATGTAGTTTCAGATACTGTTTTACATCAATAAAACACTGATTTCATTAAATGTACAGTTTGTATCTGACATTCAGATACAAACTGATCCAGCCACCGAAACAGTATCTCCTTCAGTTTTCTGAAGTTACATCAGTAAAAAAAGTCATTAACAGGATTGAGTGAAACTGAGCAGGCCACCATTTGCAGACTTATATACACGTGTCTAAGATATTCCAATTTGAGCTCTGTCATACGCATGTGCACAGGCTTTTTTATAAACACAGAAAGACTGTTAATAGAACATTGCAGTTACAAACTCAAGAGTTAGGAAATGACAATATGAAGCTTACATGTGCACTTATGTATGCACAGTCTGATTACACAATTACATACTATTGTATCTACAGAAGCCTTACTTCAGTCTTTGCCAGGATGGATGGCGCTCAATATTTTGCTTTATTTTCATTGTCTGGTTAGACCTTATATACCACACATTATTCAGGCTTGCTCTGAAGAGAGGATTATTTATTCCTCTTTGGCATCCTTTGGGAATACTATATCCCAAGTTTACATGTGGGAAGTTGAGACAGAATAAGGCCAAAGGTATCACCTAATTTTGGGTACACAGAGATGCCTAGGGTTTGATTTTTCCGAGTACTTAGCATTATACAGCCCTCTACAAGTTAAAAGCCAGCTCCCATTGATATCAGCAGATGTGAATGCTCAACACATCAGAAACCAGGGCCTCAGTTTGGGCAGCCAGAAAACAAGGAACAGAATCAGCAATTGCCTGTTGAAAGTTTAAGAGCATATTAGAACAATACCAGCATCATGGGAACACTACTTGCACAGTCAAGGACAGAATCCAGTTATCCAGGATAACATTCTATTTCCCTGATCCCCAGACCGACTTTCTCTCCCTGCAAGGTGCTGCATCATTCATTACCCTCCTTTCAACTTCTGCAACAAATAATGCAGGACCTTACAGACAACAGTCTCCTTTACTACAAAATCCTAAGTTAAACCCCTTCATTTCAGAGAAAAAACAAAAATGCAAATTAGACATATCGCAATTGCAAATGAAGCAGGGATTTAAATCCCCCACCATTTCATTAGCATAAAAAGGCTGCCGCTTTTTTCCGGCTCGGAGCTTTGCTGGAAAAAAGCTCCAGTCTAGACACGGATCTTTCAGAAATAAAAGCCTTTTCCGAAAGATCCTTTATCCCTTATTTTAAGAGGGATAAGGGATCTTTCAGAACAGGCTTTATTTTCCACAAGATCCGCGTCTAGACTGGCACTTTTTTCTGGCAAATCTCCGTGCCGAAAAAAAGAGGCAGCCATTTTTATGCTAATGAAGCAGGGGAGATTTAAATCCCTGCTTCATTAGCAATTGCGATACGTCTAATTTGCATCCCTTTTACGAAAAAGGGATGCAATCTAGACGTAGCCATGAGGTTTCTTGTATTTTTTGTAAGAAAGAACAAAAATAAGAGAAGACCTGAAAAGGCACCATATGCTTCAGGTGATCAGTGATGGATACAAAACTTCCATGTGACAGTCATTACCACTTTACAAAGATTTGGGGGCCCTACAAGGCCAGATTTGGTAATCATGGTTCAATTCTCCAAATGGACAAGTATCCAAGATATAAGCTACTGCACAGTTACCACATTTGGCACCTTAAGCATAAAGGACAAGGATTTGACCAGGCATGAAACTATAACTTATTTTCCCTTAGGGGATGGTCTTTCTAGACAAGGCAATGTGGGGAAGCTTGCAATGTTACTACCAGTGTTTTACCTGCTACTGAAGAACGACCCCAAAATTCTTCCACAAGTAATAGGGACGTAAAATCTCATTTAATTGGTAAAATGGTTAACCGTATTGTTTAACCGTTAACCAATTGAAGTGGAGAAGGGAGAGGCTCCAGTTCTGCTGGAACAGCCCTCACCTGCCTGCTGCTGGGCTGGAGGGGCCTCCTCCTGCTGCAGGCAGGAGCTGCACCACCTGTTTGTCCCACAAGCAGGGTCTGCTCAGGGTGAGGCTTATTCACATCCCTAACAATTGCCAGTTAGTTCAACTACATTTCACAGCTATAAGTTATTCTGTTTATAGTATACTAGGGGGCTGCACTCCATCTGGCTGCTACACTCTCCAACCCTCCATTCCTCCTGGCTGCTACGCTCGCCAACCCCCTCCAAACAACCCCCAATTCTCATTGATTCCCAGTTGAAACAGCTCACTCCCCAGGTACTCCAACACCATGGTGGGGGAAGGGACAGGGAGGACTATGGTTCAAGGCCTCAGGCCAGACTGACTCTTTTGGGATTCCAGAGTTAGTGAATTTTGTGGGTCCTCCTAGGCTTTGGGGTGGGGCCAAAATGAGGGGTTAAGAGTGCAGAACAGGGCTGTCAGTGAGTGGGATAGAGATGGGGGTGCAAAGTCTGGCCAGGAGGGAGGGTGGAGGAGCAGGCTGGAAGTGTGGGGGTCTCAGTGGAGGATGTGTGAGGAGGGGGTGGAAAGGTCTTGGCTTGGAGGGGTATGAGTGAGCAGGCTGGGGGGAGTGGGGTTTTGGTGGAAGGAGGGTGGGAGGACTGGGGGGTACAGGATCTTGGCATGAGGGGAAGGGGGCACTTCTTGCTTTCATGCAGCTCCCAACATGGTACCTCAGGCACTGCCTCCCAGTGCTCCTATTGACCAGATTCTGGTGCAGCAGGAAAAACCTCCAGGAAGCACATCCCTGCGCTACTGGGGAGAAGGGAAGGAAAGCAGCAGCGTGCGGAGCCATTTCTGGCTCTGCTTCTTTCCTGCAAGCCAGATCTGGCAGGGAGCCTTGGGGCTTTCTACCACCGCCTCCGCAGGAAGCCAGCGCTGGTGCTTCAATCTTGTGGGGTGGGGAAGGCCAGAGCACCAGCACAGGCTCCCTGCTACAGGGGTAGTAATGGGGGGCCTAGCTGGAGCTGCAGAAGAGCCATATTTGGCTTGGAAGCCATATGTTACCAATCCCTGCAGATGGGACTTTTGCAGCCAGAGAACGTGCGGACATCATTTTGTCGTCCGGTAGAAAAAGATTTTTTTTTATGTAGAGAGAGACCAGAATATCACGCTTTTAGAGACTTTAAGACGACGACAGGTACTTATCCATTTAACAATGAACTCTCCTGTCAAATGAAGTTTAGAAAGTAAAATTCAAGTACTACCTTTCAACTCCAAGTTCTCTGCTGCTAAGGAGTGCAAGTTATCCGTCACATGGAACGCTGTCTAAAGTAGAAACAAAACCAAGTTCTGTTGAAAAGGACAAAGGCACTACCCCAAAAGACTTTTTGTACCTGTATCTCATTTAAAAGTAGACTGATTTTTACACTAAACACTTAGGTATTTGTTCATACTGAGATATGTGAATTATTTTCCCCATGTCGACCACTAGAACTGGCTTGTATCCCTCTTATTTTTTCAAACCAGGATTCTGTAGCAGGGAGGAAGAACTTGTATCCCTCTTATTTTTTCAAACCAGGAGGAAGACGCTGAAAATTGATTCCTCCACTTTCCTTGTCACAGATGCTGGTTATTGTGAAGTACTCTAGAATAATTTAATATTAAATTCCTGGACATATGTCTTGCCACAACAGCACTGTCCACAAAGCAACATAAAAATACTGGACTTCTTTAAGATAGTTTAAATTACTAAATAGTTATTAAATATTTTACACTACTCCTTATGCATTGTTTCTTTAAGTTCCTTGTTAACATAATATTTTCAGAACTGATGCATGAATAGCATAAATCAGAACTACCAAATCTGACAGCAATAACCAGCTTTCTGCACTTACTGGTATTTCTTCAGCTTAATATTTTGACGACTCACTTTCGATTTCATCTTTTTTTCCTGGAACTGGATTTCACATAATCCAGAATATTCCTCATCAAAATAGCTTGCTGAGGGGTAGCCAGTTCTACTCCACTCTTCAGTTGTTGTTGTTTTTAAAAGGAAGCTACAGTGTATCAAGCAGTTTGATGAACTTTAGCATTCAGATTTCCCAGATTAAGGTCTGTGTGTCTCTCTAAGTATATTAAACAACCCTCATGGTCACACAAAGTTTACAGCTCAAAACTCCAGACATTTGATTTATCTTTATTAGGTTTCCCAAATATTTACCAAGAGCAATAACACTGTACCTCATATGGACTCTTAGTCACATCAGGAATACCATTCCAAACATTCTCAGGATTCACTACTTCCTCATTGCCACTGGACAGATTCAAAACCTGTACAGATAAGATATTAACCATCGTATAGCAAGCACTACCAGTTATACAGCATAGAATCATAGAATACTAGGACTGGAAGGGACCTCGAGAGGTCATCCAGTCCAGTCCCCTGCCCTCATGGTAAGACCAAATACTGTCTGACCATCCCTGATAGACATTTATCTAACCTACTCTTAAATACCTCCACAGATGGAGATTCCACAACCTCCCTGGGCAATTTATTCCAGTGTTTGACTACCCTGACAGTTAGGAACTTTTTCCTAATGTCCAACCTAAACCTCCCCCGCTGCAGTTTAAGCCCATTGCTTCTTGTTCTATCCCCAGATGCCAAGATGAACAAGTTTTCTCCCTCCTCCTTATGACACCCTTTTAGATACCTGAAAACTGCTATCATGTTCCCCCTCAATCTTCTCTTTTCTAAACTAAACAAACCTAATTCCTTTAACCTTCCCTCACAGGTCATGTTCTCTAGACCTTTAATCATTCTCGTTGCTCTTCTCTGGACCCTTTCCAGCAAGCAGTCGTTTCCCATTCTGTATGTGTGAAACTGATTGATTAAAAAGATTTACTAGGAGTTCTTGAAAACCTTTACATTGGTTCCTCAAGTACTCAATATAAATTCTATCTAGCAAAACAAGAGACACCTGTAATTATGTATTATAGACATCCAGAAGCAGCTAACAACACTAACTCCAGTATAAGTTCACTTTATTCACCCCAGGAATAATAGAACAAATGGTCTGGTAGCACTTTATAGACTAACAAAACATGTAGATGGTATCATGAGCTTTCGTGGGCATAGCCCACTTAACTCTGAATCACACTGTGGTTGTTCTTGCAAACTTTTGCAAATGAATGTTGACTTCATATGACTTTGCAATGTTATGAATAAAAATGCTGCTATCCTTTTTTTTGTAAGTTTACATTTTTATCAGAATACTGTACTGTATTTGCTTCTTTTTTTGGGTCTGCTACTGCTGCTTATGTACTTCTGGTTCAAGTGAACTGTGTGGCTGGCTGATCAGTTTGTAATTGTGAGGTTCTGCTGTAACTGTTTTAATCTCTAACTGGAACCTCTCCAGTAATTCAAACATCTGGAGAAGGTAGGATGCACATGGGACAACCAGAGCATTTCTAATGTACATTAAATCTTTTTTTTTTTTAAAGACACAGAAAAGAGCTCTGAAGTCTTACTTACCCTAGTGCCTTCATCAGATACCTCCAAAATCTGAGCCTCACACCACTTCAGACTTGTCCACACCATACATTTGGAGCCAACAGCAAACCCTTCTAGACTGCAGGCATGCTCACTTTGCTCTACAAGATTTGAGAGTTCACCAAAGTTTGCTGTAACAGATTTAGACTTTATTAAAAAGTGTCAATTTAACTGCTTCTGCCTGCTGCTTTTCATGTCTCCATTTGTATATAAGAAACCAATCTATTTGTTAAGAAGTTAGTAATGGATAAGTTTAACACAAGACATTTACAGTTCATTACTAAAAATCCCAGAATGTAAGAGGATTTACGGGTGGAACACTCTCTCATGGACCACATAAAACAATCTGTTCATATAGTATTCTTTTGGAAACTACAGCACTCTCTATGCACCTTACCTCACCACAGTCTTCATTCCCCATCCCCTTCCCACAAGTCTTAGCTTAAGATCTAGACTTTACATTACAATTCTTTAAAAACAACAACAACAACAACACCACCACCACACACACCCCTCACACACTTCAAGTCAAGTATTTTTAAACATTTAAGCTAAATTTTGCATTTGGAACTACTGATTTTTAAAAGTGTTAGTATGCTGTACAATTTGAGACTACAGTATTTTAAAGAGGCACATACCTGCACCACAACCAGCTAAAATTGCATCTTGTTTTTCTCTTATTTCAATTTCTTCTTCTTCATTATCTGAGGGTTTAGACTTCAAGGACTCCCCACTCACAAAAGTGTTTTTATACTCTCTGTACACATCACACAAGTCTGGTTTAAATTGTTCTGTACAACTCTTCTCTTGCAGAGTTAGCCATTTCTTAAATTTTTCACCTTTGCTGCCATCTTGTCCTATAACACCCAGCTCTACAGGGCAAGGAGACATTTGCTTTAAGTCAGTTTTGGGAAACGAAAGCTGAACTGAAGTATCTGCAGAAAGCTCTAAAGTGGATGGTTCCAACTCCAACATGTTGTTCCTTGTTTCATTACCCAGAAAAGCCTGCACATCAGATGGCACCAATTCCAATCCATTTTTTCTTTCAGCAATAAGCAAAGACTGTATTGTATGTGACTCTGGTTCCAACTCCTTCCTAGCTCCACTAGCAAGTAAGGGTCTTACTAAGGTTGACTCCACTTCCAACTCAGTTGGTACATCTGTCATCTGATGAACTTCAAGCAAGTTCAAATCCAATCTCTCCTTAGTTTCTTCACCCAAGGAAATCTGTACCTCACAGGGTATTAGTTCAAATAGTTTCTCCTTTTCATCACCACAGATGGAGCCATCACTTGAAATATAGCCTTTTTCCAACCAATTTGCTCCATCACTGAATGAAGACACTTCCACCAATTTCAGGTTTGTTAAGTCCCCTGTTTCATCACCCAAAAGCTGTGCTTCAACTGATTCCAATTCTGACAATTCTTCCTTTGTTTCATCATTCAAGAAAGTCTGTATTTCTAGTGACTCCCGTTCTGGCACTTCTTTTGCTTTGTCACCTAAGGAAGGGTGCCCTTCAAGTGATTCTAGCTCAAGTATGAGCTTTTTTAGTTCATCGTGTGAAGTGTGTGTTTGTAACTGCTCCATTTCCAACAGATTCACATTTTCATACAGGGAATCCTGCATCTGAGATGGTGGTTCCAACAGCTTTCTTTCTTCGCCTAGGAAAGACTCTACTTCAAGTGATAATTCTAACATTTCTGCTTTGACTTTATTATTTTCTAAGAACTGCGTTTCAAATGGCTCAAGGTATAAGTCTCTTATTTCATCATTGGCAAATAACTTAGGTTCAGATATTTTTGGTTCTACATGTACCTTGGTTTTGCTATCACTCTCTTTTTCCAATAAATGATTCTCTACATCATTAAGTATTTCAAAATCGGTCTGATGCTCATTAGAAATTTTGAGAACCACTTGTTCTTTGATTTCTGCATTATTTAGACATCCATCGTCTTTAAGGTGAAATGGTTCTGCACAGAGCAAAGCATCCTGCAGAATATTATGTTCTTCCTCAGCATCTCCAATAGAAGCAGCAGCTTTTTCAAGAAAAACATGATCTGTTTCTGGACAGTCATTCTTTCTACTGAAAGTATTCTGAATGTTTGTCAAAGTCATACCAGCATCTGTGTTATACTTCCAAAAACATTCCATCTCCTCATTAATGTTTTTTCCATTACATTCCAGTTTCACAACAGATAAGGGAATTTCAGAAAAATTATCCTTTTGTATTTCCATTACTGTGACCTTTAGTAAATATTCTCCAGTCATATCATAGAACTTGTCTTTTGCTTCACTACTCCATGAACCCTTTAGCAAATTAAATCCAAACAGACAGCATGGAAATGCTTGAATAGGTATTGTAAGGAGTTGGTCAGGAATTTGTCTAATCATTTCTATACCAATACATTCTTCAGATCCATAATCCACATGTCTGACAGTTAGGTTGTTATCTTTCATGCTTCTAACTTCTGCTCTATAAAATTTTCCATCCTCACTATACTTCGCTATGCAAATATCTCCACTTCTAATATTTGATCTGAAGTCATCCACATTGCTTATTTCAAGTTCTCCAGTTTCCTGAAGGTTTTTTTCTAAGTAGTTTATATTTTCTGGGTTAGCCATTTGACACCAAAAGTTTTCTGGACCCTTTACAACAGTGACATAAGTTTCTACAGTCTGAGCTACCTCTGGAGTCTTCCAGAAAAGTGATTTAGTGTCAGCTACATTAGAAGCTTTACCTTTCTCATCAAAAGGCAGAGGTTCACACAGATGTGCCACATCAGCACCACTCTTTCTTCTGTGAAATGATTCTGTTGCACAAGATTCTTCTCTCATTGCAAAGGTTTCATTAATTAAATCCGCTATCATACCTTGCTCATCATAAAGACGTATTGCCCATTTGTCCTCAAGTTTCTCCACAAATTCACAGTTTATTTGAACTTCGCTTGTTCTTTCTGAAAAGTAACTCACTGCTTCCTGTGTCCAATCTGTAAGCTGTTTACACTGAACTCCAGCCAGCGAGGAATGAATACTCATAATTGGAACTGAGGAGTATTTTTCAAGCAGTTTGTTTATTTCACAAACATTAACTACAGAAGTATTGCCATAATCTATATATTGTACACTGATCCGTTCGTCAGATAGTTTTTCTTTTATTACAGCTCGATACCGTAAGTGGTCTTCTGAAAAAACTGCGCAAATTAAGTTGCCTACTTGCAATTGCTGTTGATTGAGACCCTCTGTTCCTGTTTTGTTTAATACTTCTGAAATACTGTTAAGTTGAGGTTCATCAGTTACTAACTGAATATAAAAATCTGAAGGGTTATTTACATGAGAAACATATACTAAAGTTTTCAGACCAGGCACTATGTTCTTTGGAGGCAGATCACATATGCTTTTAAGTGAAGAGAGTGTACTGTTTTCTCCTTCATTTCTAGTTTTAATAGTTGCAGGTTTAACAATACCAGACTTTGTGTCTTTGTTTATTAAAGGTAACAATTTATTTTCACCTACTTTTTTAGCGAAGAGAGTACTTACTGAGGGAAAAGCTTTGTTAGTGTTAAATCTTTCCACAGAGCCTAGAAACTTGGTTGGCAATTCTCTTTTTGCAGCAGGTTGGAAACATTTTACATCCTTACATACAGAATTGGTTTTGGTATTGCACTCTTCTCCTTGGATTTCAGATCGCCAAGTTTTAATTTCAGACTCTCCCATATGTGCTGCTGATGGCCTCTTGTTTTCATTCCTCACTTCTTTAGCATTTATGTTTTTAGAATGAAGAGTTTCATTTTCTACATATTTGTTAGACTCTCTCTCTCTTGGTAAGCCTAAACCTTCTTTCATTTTTGCATTAATTTGAATATTACCATCATACAGTTCAACTATCAGTTTTCCATCAGATTCTTTTGCTACCACTATCATCTTTAAAGGCTTAACCAAAACAGCTTTTTCAAACCATGTAGTCGCTTCTTTCGATACATTAGAAATATCAGATAGTGAACATTTTATGGCTTGCATAGGCAAAAGCAAGATATCATAGGCATCACTGGGTATCGGAATCAAATCTTCTTTCTTTACCACTTGCATATTCCCAAAGTCTACAAAGAAGACTTCCTTATTAGGCTTGGATTTCGAAACTACTCCCCTGTACCAATTATTGTCAGTATACCTTGTAAGAAATAGGTTTCCAGAGTTTTGTGATGTTTTTAAACTGTTCACTACTTTGCTTAATTGATTAATGTTATCTGTAAGTTGTTCTAGGACATTTGCACTTCTGGCAAGTTGGCAGTAAAATTTCCATGGGTTCTCAATATGTGTTATATAAATCTCTTCTTCACTTCCAATTTTGATGTCATGTGTAGAATAGTAGTAAGAGTGTAGCTGAACAGAAGATGCCAGAGGTTTCTGAGGTGGTACTGATCTCGCCAACCCTTTCTCAGTTAAGAAATGGCACACACTCTGAAAAGGAGTAATTAAGTCCACAACATTAAACAGTTCCTTATTGTTTAAGGCAGCTAGAGCAAATATTGTACATTTCAATTCCAATTGATTTGCTGCATCATCAACAAACTCCTGAAAAGCTAGGATTGCTTTTTCATCCCAAACAAAAGGATCCTGACCATTTGGTTGGATTAAGTTGTAAAGGCTGCATCTGAAAGCCTGAGCCTTTAGTTTCAGAAAATTTGAACTAATTGAGCAGAGATTCTTTACAGAAACCAGTTCCTTGTTCCCATAGTCAACATATATTACTTCTACCTGTTCTACAGAATGCTCTCCACTAATAATCAAAGCTCTGTACCATTTCTCATCCTCTGAATACTTAGCTAAACACAATGGACTTGGCCCACAATATGGCTGAACTGAAATCTTGCAATAATCCTGAATTTCAGCCATTAATGTCTTAAGTTCCTGATTGTTTCCACTCAACTGACACCAGAAGTAACCAGGACTTTCAACATAAGATATTACCACCTGAACTGTACAACCAACTTCCAGCTGACCTTCATAAGGAAATCCTGGTTTTATTTCCAAGTAGTTCTGTGCAAGAGAGAAGGGCAGATTTAGCTTTCCGTTATTTTTTCTCTCGGCAGGAGTGGAGTCACTCAGTAAATGGCAAGTTTCTGCAGTAGGCTGGGCTTTGGGTCTTAAAGGCACAGAGGGAATCAGCATTATATTGTCTCTTATTGTTTTGGGTTGCATGCCCCTCTTCCTGGCTGTTGAACTCACTAGCTCCTCCTCCCCAACAGGTTCATTGGTAGCCTGCCCCAGAGGCTCAGCAGATAACTTCTGAAGAGTCTCTGGAATCTCAGCACCATGGAATTTTGCATAGCCTGCTTGGGACAGGATTTTGCTTATATTTTTCTCCCCTGTTTGAGAGTGGTCAAGAACTTCAATCACATGCTTGCCAGCATGTGTGCCCAACATCTGGATCACCAGCTCTTTGCTCTTCACAGTCCTTCTAAAGTGAGCCACAGACTCTTTACTCCAAGTTTCTCCCAGGGGAGAGACATCTGCTAAACAGCACTTCAGAGCAACAGCAGGCAGCTCCCTGAATTGAGGCAGCAGCTCCTTCACCTCATACCAGTCCACAAGCTCAGTGTTGCCTCTGTCCACCAGGTGCACTTTCACCCCATTCCCCAGCACTTTGGTGATAAGGACTCGATAGTAAGCATTCTCCTTCCACTTAGCGCAGCATAGGGATCCCGGCTGGGGCTCCAGGACGATGCCGTCCAGCTTCTGGGCTCGGGAGTAGAAATCGCTCATGTTCCGCATCATCTGGTTGAAAGGCAGCTGGTGCTCCTTGAGCCGTAGCCAGAACTCGGACGGATCTCGGAGGAAGGACACCTGGGCATCGTAGAACACTCCCACCTTCAGCCGTACAACCCTCCTCCCCGGCTCCCTGCAGGAGGCTGTGGGCCAGGCAGCTGGCCTGCACGCCGTAGAGGCAGTTCAAGCTAAGGCCGTTCTCCCCATACAGGTTCACATAATAGAGGTGCTCGAAGGGGCTGTAAGCTTCGATGCGCGCGCTCACCGCCTTCCCCAGCAGCAGCGCCTTGAGCCCGCTAAGCTGGGACCGGGACCAGCCGCAGCCCCCGTCCGAGATGCCCTGCAGGGCGCATGGGTAGGTCACCACTGGCATGCGGAAACACTCCACCGGCAGGCGGCGCAGGTTAGCCCCGGTGACGAATTCTTTCCTGCCGTAGTCCACGCAGATCACCTGGGCCACCAGCCGACCCTGCGCCCCGGGGAAGATCTCCAGCAACAGCGCGCGATACCAGCGGCCGTCTATGCCGCGTGCGGCGCAAGGGGAGCCCGGTTTGGGTAGCGGATCCTGCTCCCGCCCGGCCGCCGCCTCGTACATCTGGTGCAAGGAGTCCGAGAGGGCCTGGATCTCCTGGGACAGGCTCTGCAGCTGGCAATAGACGCGGTGCGGGTCAGAGATCTGGGTCACCAGCACCGGCTCAGTTACCCCCACCTGCAGCCGCGGGTAGAAGTAGTCCAGGGGGGCCGGGCCGGGATGGGGAGCGGTAGCAACAGAGTGGTGCTGAGCTGAGGCAGAGTCGGGGGGGTCCACTTTGGACTGACAGTGCAGGCAGGGCGGGGGCAGGGAACGCTTGAGCAGGGCTCGGAAGCAGCTGGGGGTGACCTGCTTGGCCAGGCCCAGGTGGTGCATCTGGGCCAGCAGCCACGGCAGCTCGA